CATAATGCTTAATGATCGTAGTGAATATTTTCACTCTATTACTTCCCCCCCTTCATTTCACAAACGTTGCCAAAAAAACCCGTTACAGTCAAGCCTACCACATTAACTTATTGCATAAACTTAATCTGTAAATATTACCTAATATGTGCAGAGGCAATTATGCGATCTCCGGCTAATTGCCATACGTGAAATTCATGGACTGCCAAAACACCATCAACTTTTTCCAGTAATCGTTTTTGTATGGCGTCGACCTAGTAGTGATTGTATTTATATATATATATAAATATATAAAATTGAATAAGTAAATAGTAATAGGTAAAGAAAAGGCAATAAGAGAATTTACTTGTATGTGTGTTGGCACTGTTTGTAATAAAATTAAAGCAGATTCACGTAATAGCGGCCAGACAGAATGCAAAATTAAGCAAACCAAAACAATAGACAAAGCTGGATCCATATAATAGCGATACTTCCATTCTGTTTTCCATACAATCAAAGCGCTTATAACCACGATGATGCTACCTAAGGCGTCACTTAAAACATGTAAGAACGCTCCGCGCATATTCATTGAACCAGGATCATGACTGTGACCTCGACCGGATTTCTTCATTTGTTTTTCTTTCTGTAAGCAGAAACCAAGAAAAAAAAAATTATAGATAAGTGGTGTCTCATGGAATTTTCTATGAAACGTCCTTTCACCTGTTTTTCATAGCTAAAATCTGTATTTTCCACTTCGCCATCATCGACATTTGCTAATTCAGTGAGACGACTGTGGTTGCGCCTTAAGCCGCCACCATGCGAATGGCCATGATGACCACCATGTTCTTTTGTTTTAGAGACAGATATATTGCAAAAAGAAAAAAAACAACAAAATTAAGAATTCTGACTGATTACAAGTGATATGTTCTTACCGTACAACAAACATAAACCTATGACATTAACAACTAAACCTAACGAACCGACTATCACCAGCAATTCCGGTTCATGTATAGTTTCCTCTTCTATGAATCTGGGAAAGAAAAAGACAGAACAGAAAGGAATGCGAGATAATATACATAATGTTATACATTAATGTTAAGATTCGTTCATATACCTTTTAAAGGCTTCTATTGTTATACTAAAGCATAATGCGACAAGAAAAACCGCATTAATAAGGGCTCCTAACACTTCGGCTCGTGCCCATCCAAACGTGTTTTTGGACCATTTCTTTGGACTCATCTGAAACGTTATGGATGATAATGAATAACAATAATTTAATTTGATCATAATTTACGTCAAACTTAGTTTAAAATCAAAAATTTAAAACTCGTCTTTTATTTGTTTATTTATAGTTGTTTTTGCAAAAATATTTTATGAGCATTTTTTCCTTTTTATAATATCTACTTTTTTTTAAAACCAAATTATTAGATCGAAAATAACTTCTATTGTTCGTATTTCCCCTTAATAAGCAAATAGCGAAACAAACAAGTTTTTATTTTCACTACACAGATGAGGATTCAGTTAGTCTCCCGTCAACTGTTTTATGTGGGCAATGTTACATTCAACTGGTCGTTCTTAACCTTTGAAATGGAGAGTCAAAAAGTGCATATTCGACACGGATTACATATGACAAAATATTGGTCGCAAAAGACAGTCGCTTGATAAGGAGCAACTACCCCTACCATATCCGAAAGCAATCATTTTACTGTGTATATGGTAGGATTGGAGGCATAACTGATTACAGGCTCTTGAAATTAAATTTCACGATCACTGCGGATGGATAGGTCCAGTAGTTCCAAAGGCTGCAAGAAAAATTGCACGAAAAATGTCCCACATCCGTCAATCGCATATATATCGCAGTTATTAATACAGACGCTTAAAGATGAAGAGCTCCTGAGAGCTCTTTTCATTCTCATAAAGAAATGTTATTATAGTAGCAGTAGTAGTAGTAGTAGTAGTAGTAGTAGTAGTAGTAGTAGTAGTAG